CCTTAGGGATCTGTTCTGCCAGCCCTGAGTCACCAGAGCACATTTCACTCTGGCTGTATGGCTGGCATGTCCCCATAACTCATTAGTTATCAAGGTCCAGAACCAGGTTGCATAGAGCCATCAAATGGAATACCCAGCTCTTCTTCCCTTCCACCGTGCCAGAATGGCATAAAGGGAGAATGAGCAGGGACTGAGGATCTGATCCAAAGATTTTAATCTTGTTGACAAATGAATTTTGGATGCATAGGTCATGTTGAGAAGGTATAACAGCTGATAATAGCATGCATGGATATATCACATGCATTGGTGGATGTTGAGATGAGCTCTATTCAAAACCTCTTTTATGAAAATAATTTGATGCTTAGGGCCCTATTTTCCAACACGCATTAACAATACTTTAAGATCATGCATCTGGACAATTACTTAAGCATGTCTAGACCCTGACCCAAAGCCCATTGAAGTCAATGAAGATTCCCACTGACTTCAGTGGGCTGTGGACCAGGGCCTTAGTGATTTAGAGCTAGATTGTGAACACTTCAGTCCCATTTGTGAGCAGTTATTCCTGACGAATCCTTTTGAATTCTGTGAGACTATTTGTTACAGTAACTGCTCACCAGTGGGAGTAAGAGGTTCACAGTCTGGCCCTTAGCCCACAATCCAGTAAAGCACTTAAGTTCATGCTTAACTTTAAGCAGGTAAGTAGTCCCCCCTGTGGTCAAGTGAAGTCTAGACTGGGGCCTTTGTGAATAGTAAATTAAATTTGGTACCAAATAGTTTTATGCGCCAAGGGGAAATTGGTGTGTCCAGATATGGGATTTGGAAGACCTATAAATGTCCCCACATTTGAAAATTGAGGGCAGGGCACTGAACACTGTGGTCTAATTCAGCAGAGATCTTAAGCATATGCTTAACTTTAAGCACATGAATACAGCAATTGACAAGTGGTGCTAGGTTGGGGCCATTGCCTCTCTTTAGTTACTGAACACCAGAAGCATTCAGCAAATGATTAAATGAGTGTCTAGAATCCACTAGACTGTACCCAAACCACAAGGTAAGAAATAAAACAACATTCACACACCAGTTAACGTTCATTGCGTTTTATTTTTTATTTTAATTCTCATTCAGCAGTAGGCCATAGAAAGAACTCCACAAGCTCTGCATAAAAATCCTCTATCAGATTGTCAACGGGACTGCTCATGTGCTTAAAGTTAAGCATGAGCTTAAGAATTTTCCTGGATGAAGCCAAAGTGTTCAGGGCCTTGCATCACTGAGCCCTTCAGTTTTCAAATGTAAGACCCTGTTTAGGACATCCAAATCCCATAATGGAACACAGACTTCCCACCTATATACATAAGACTATTTTGTGCCTAAGATGCTATTCACGAAAGCCCCAATCTAGACTTGACCACAGTGGAACTACTCGCATGTTTAAAGTTGAGCATGTGCTTAAGTGGTTTGCTGAATTGTGACTTAAGGGACAGACTCTGCCCCTTACTCCCATTGGGAAAATGTGTCAGAATATATGAAAAATGGGACTTCTTGGGCCTAGATCTGTTGTCTTTAGCCCTTATTCAGGCAAATCAGTGGCAGTTTTGCCTGAGCATAAACTGAATAAGAACTTAGTTTGGTATCCTGCGTGTACATCTGATCAGCAATTCTATTGCATCTCTATTTTGAAAACATTTTAAAAAATCTTTTTTTAAATTAATTTATTTGAAAAGAGCTGCATTACTTAGCTATTTTTAGGTCATGATGACTGCCCCGTGAAACTAGGCACTTTTCTACATAAGGAAACACAATCAAGACTGGAAAATCAAGTGTAGTATCTGTTCTTATCAGTTTAATTACTGAGGCAGAAACTACACCTTCTAGAAGACTCGACCTCCTATTCTGAAGAAGACTACTGCTTTGAAGATGGATTCTACTGCTTCAAAAGAAAACCTTCATGCTGCTTCGGAGGTTCCAGGATAGACCGAGAAGATGATAGCTCCCTTGCTGATTCTACAGAAATTTTCAACTGCTGCTCAGACCGCTGCTGCTTCACGGAACGCCCATGGGGGAACAGCCTCTAAGAAGATCCTCAGCTCTTCCAGGATGTCGCAGATGAGCAGCATCAATGGGACAAGCAGCGCTTCCTCGAAGAAAACCCATGGAGATGCTGCTACAGGGAGATCTTGCACCTCAAGGACGGCCTTCTGCGACATCACAGCCAGGACAAACATCATCTCGACCGCTCTTCAGGAGAAGGATGCTACAAGGAGAACTTCTTCCATCTCCTCTATTTCCCAGGATCCTGATGATGGTGGTTGTCCTACTGTACAAGAAGGTACCTCAGCAAGTGGGACCAGCCTCTCCTCAGAGACCGGCCTCTCCTCAGCGGGATCTCAACACCTCACTAGATGCTTGCCCCGCTGGACTTCTCTATACTACTCTCCCAGATCAAGAAGAACCATCTAGCAAGTCCACTGATACGACTGAAGCCCATCCAGCAGAGGGAGAAGAAAAGGAGAACGATTGCATCTACCTCCAGTATCCCCTCCCTACAGACATGCTCCTCTGCCCCTTCTGCTATCTGGTCTGAGGATTCCAGTACCTTGGCAGTCTCAGCAGACACCTCAAAAAAATCCATAGCAAACGGATCGCCTTCCGGTGTGCCCTCTGTGACTTGCCTTTTGAGACGCAGAAGAAATGTAAGTTGCATCAAGTACTTGCATCTCACACCGGAGGAGTCAAACTCTACCAGTCTATGTTGCCGACACCCCATCTCTGCTCTGAATGCAGAAACACCACGTACTCCAGCTCCGGCTGCACAAATACTCCGGCCACTGCATCCCAGCCAACTCCCCCAGAGCCACAGCACGAAAAGATGGTCCAACAATCTACTGAGGGAAGGATAACACCTGTCCCCGGGATCACCCAACAAGATACTGCCATTGAAAATGTCCATCAGAACTTTTCTTTAGTTAAAGCTCTCCTAAATAGCACTGAGGCCACGGGTTGTTCAGCATATGCCAACTCAGGCCTCCTCTTCACCAGCTCTGTAGTTTCTGCCCTGCCAGTGGCACACCTTGTTATTTTTCAGTTGTGTTCTGTTAGTTGCATTTGGGCCTCAGATATGTCCAAACAATCATTTACACCTGCAGCCCCAGTACACCCTTTGAAAGCAGTGGCTCTGCAGCTGCAAAGAACTCTGGTCCTGTCTGAGAACTAAAGGCTAGAGCTGGTTGACAATTTTTTATAGGAAAATTCTGATTTGTCAAAACCAGAACTTTAAATGGAAACTTTTATTGTTTTTGTCAGGAAGGTTTCTCAGGTCCAGGATGACATTTCTGCAAAAGAGCGAGTGCGTGCACTCTCACCTGGGGTATGGGAGACCCAGGTTCAAGTCTCTGATCTGCCTGATTCAGAGCATGGCCTTGAACCTGCATTTCCTGTATCCCAGGTGAGTGCCCAAAACATCAGGCAGTAGAGTCTTTCTCTCCGTCCACCCCCCAAAGAATAGTTATTTATACAACGTGGATCAGCTCCAACAGGAGAGGTTGGGTGGCTTCCCATCCCAGATAGCTAAGCAGAAACACTGGAAGCTTTTGGAATGAAGGCATGACAAAGCTAGAGATCCCGTTGGGTTGCTGTCCTGGGTAGGCTCGTGGGAGGAAGGAAGCTGGACGTGTTTCTACTGCCTGTGCTCTTGGGGCCTGCCTTGGTATGGAGAATTTCTCAGAGACTGTATGCTGTGTGCAATCCAGCAAGCTCACAGATAGTTCTGATGAGCTGCTTTTTGAGATACAGTGGGGCTTGAACAAAAACATTTTAACTCCTAGCTCACTGAGATTCCAGATGCCTTCCAAATCAAAGCACACACAGAACAATATACATGCATGTCTGTATGCCTCCAGTCTCCAAAGGGTTGTTTCTCAGGTCCTTACACTTTGATTTATCTAAGTTATTATAAACTACTGCTCAAATGCAGGATCACCTTTGCATACTGACTTTTGCTACTTTCTCCAGCATTTTTCACCGTCTACTAAGAGCGTGATCCTGGCTTTAATCCACATCATCTACTCCTATGACATTTTTTTTCTTAACTTATCCTTTTTCCACTGAATTTTCAAAGAGAAAAAGAGAAGTCTAGCAAGCACAGGTAAAAGTCAAGTTGAAAGGCTTTCCTGAAACATATCACCCAGTGCCACCACATCAACAGTCTTTCACACAGGGTCACATTCAAAATAAAACCCAGTGTGTATAGCCAAGGTTCTGTCTCAGAAAGTAGTGCTTCTAATAATTACCTGTGGAGAAAAGAGCAGGTAGCTTAGTTACTATATATAACAACTCCATCTTCTCAGAAGTTTTCTTTCGCTATGTTAAGTGCTATGGCATTAAGTCCGTGACTCCCATTGACTTTAGTTGAAGTCACACATCTGAAAACCCCATGTAGCACTTTGTAAATTGTACTTAGCATGGAAACATCTATACATTTTCTCTGAAGCTAGCTCTTAGTGTCTCAGAAAGGTTTGCGAGTAAATTTCCAAGGAGTTACATTCAGGGTTGTAAAGGCCACAAAAAGCCTGATTCTGCTCAGCTTCTTGCCTGCTGGAGTCATTTACACCTGTGCAAAGTAGGTGTAAAACACTAGCAAATCAGAGTCGTTGTTTTTACACCGTCTTTGCCTAGGTGTAGGTGATAACACAAAGTTCGAGCCTGTTAAGAATCAGACCCTAAAATTCTACCAGACTATCAGTTTACTTGCAAACAAGACTAATAATGATTAAGGTTTTGGCTAACGGGTAATACTTTTGTGACATAGTTTAAAACCATTATGCTTCATTGGACATAAGTATTAGGTTTTTTTATAATAATAAATAACAATAACAGGCTTTTGAAAGTCATATTTGTATGCCCCGATTGAAGGCTATAGTATTCTAATCATTACCATACCAAAATGTAATTTCTTGGTGTCTTCCGAGCTTTGAGAGTAATTTTATTTCTTTATTTCATTTTAGGCTTACCTTATGGATGGGAAGAAGCTTACACAGCAGATGGAATCAAGTACTTTATCAAGTGAGTACTGGCATCAAAGCTATGTAAGCAGTTTCTATCACATCTGGAGGATGATAGGGAGAGATTCAAATAATCAGGGGGTAAAACAGCTCTAAACTTTCTAGGAGGAACTTTTAAATCAGTAACACGACAAGAAACATCATCTCTCTTATATACAGCTTGTTAGTGACATCATTTATAGATTTTCTTAGGGACAAACGTATATAATGAGACTGGGCTTTTCAAAGAATTCTAAGGGAATTAGGTACCCAAATCCTATTGAAATTCACTGGTAGTCAGGTGACTAACTTCCAACCTCATCTTGTTTTGGTTACTTCAAAAGTCTTTGATCCTTTCAATGTTGCCAATAGGGATGGGAAAATCCCAACCCCTAAAAAGTCCATGGGCCTGAACATTCAAATGCTAAAATGAAAAAATCAGTGTTAAAACTGGTTGGGAGCCTCAGTGCTGGGGAAACATCAGACAGTACTCAGTGATTTGGGAGATGTAGCTCTGGCTCCGACCCTAGGAGTTCTTCCCATAGTAATACAGAAACCTTAGGGCTCTCTAGATGCACTGACACCTTTGTTGAATCTGGGATATGGCACCTGTGCCCCATACATTACTTAAGCAAAACCCCAGAATCCTTTGTACTGTCTGCAGTTTTTCCTGGGCAGCCAGCCAGACAACTCAGGGACACAGCTTGGTGTCTGTTCATCATTTTTTTCTATTCTGAGCAGATAGTATCTGAGCACCTCCCAGTAATACATTTTTTTCATCTCTTTTTATGGTTTCCTCTTTAGCATTTCTATTCTTTTTTCCCCTCTCCCCTCCCTTTTTGCTCTTTTTGTCTTCCTTTAACATTTTGTCCTATGTCGTCTATGCATATTGGCACCCATCACTGTTTCTATAAGGTCAGAAAGCTTTGCACGTGCAGAAAGCAGAGGAAAATGAATAGGATGCTAATCAGTTTCCTTCTGCAATCTCTTCTGTGTGTAAAGGCTTCGATCCACTGTGTAGACCAGTCAGTTACCTTCTGTATCGTGTGCTTCGTCAAGAACTTGCTGTGAAGGAGTACTGGCTAGCTTGGTACAAAACTAATCAGTTTTTCTTTGTATCCAGACAAGTGTTAAAGAGCCTAGATGCTGACAGACACTGACTAAACCTAATCAACTTCCATCTGCAATCTTTTCACCCAGAAACCTGCACCAGGAAAAGGAATAACATGCTAGTTTCTCTTTGTAACTAGGCCCAGCAGAATGTCTTTTACAATGTGATTACCCTCTGTAGCTGCCCATTCAGACTATATCTAAAACCATCCTTGGTGTGTCAGAAAGTCATGTTCTTGTTTTGTAGAAAATGGACTTTGTAGCCAGCTTTGTATCTGGAATTAAGTTGTTCTTTCTATTGTAATGGATTGAAGGAGCAGAGTGGTAGGCATTTCATCATAATTATAAAGTAAGCAAGAGACTCCCAAGTTTCCGCCCATTGATTTAAAAGAGAAGTTATTACTTGCTATGCCTTACACTTAAGATGTTAATCATAGGGTCGCTAACTTAAAATAACTAAGTTCTGACAAGTCAAATTTTCACTGCCTTTAGGTTAGCCTACCCTTACTCAGTGAATATTGCCATTGAAATTGGGCCGGTTACCAAGATCTTTTGTCAGATTCTTTGTGCGTTTCAGTGCTTGTCAATGCAAATATTTTAGCTATACGAAAAACTTCTGCTGTCTGTATGCATCTCGAGTATTTTAAGCCAAAGAAAAAGAAATAATCTGATTCAATTTCTATTATTTTAAGAAAAATACATATATGGCTGTCTCCTCACTGTCATGTTCTGCTCTGTGTATAGTATAACTACCATTGTCTCAACGGCCAAGGTGCTTGTCATCTCCATTGTATTAGTGTTACCAAAGATGAGAGGAGATTGGAAAAAAAACTGTGCTCCTGGTGATTACTGGTTAGTTAAATCTATTCATTATGTTAGTCAATAATGCATCATCATTTCAGCGTGTGCAGTATAGCGTAGATGTTATATTAGCAAACAAACTTCTTATGTCACCAAAAATAAGATTAAGGAAAAATCTGTATGGCCCAATGTCACCTGCAGTTGAATGAATTTTCAGACAACCCTCCTAAGACTAGAGGAGAGGTGACATTGAGACGTTACAATAAAACGCGGTATAAATTACAATGACATGCTCTACAAAGCTTTAAAAGTAGTCACCCTCAGGGGGAAGACTAGAAAATACAAAGCATTAAGATCAGGCCCTTTTTGTCATGTGCTCTTGGGGTTTTCTTAATTAAAGGATTTCCTTAATAATTTTTTTCTGAAAGACTAAAAGAAAAAAGTTAGTAGTGCAAGTGCAATATTTTCAACAAGTGAAAGAAAGGTGATAATATCTTTAAACTTAAGGCGAAAGTATCCAATGTGATACATATACAGTTGCATGGCACAGACAAAGAATCACAAAATACCTTATAGATCTAGGTTACCAACATGATTATAAACCGTCTGAACCTGAGCCATAGCCCATCGATGTTAATGGAAAGATGTCCACTGATGTTAAAGTGGGCTTTATCTTGTTGTTTGTACCCTAATATATAAAGGTCTGCTTTTTGTTGTGAAAGATCATGTTAAGGCTGATTATTTAAGACCTTCTTGCCTGCCAGCAGGGGTTTGTGAGTTTGATTTATCTTTGCAAAGTGTTTTGAGATCCTTCAGTGGAAGACACTAGCAAGCAAAGTTAGCATTATTATGAAACAGTTGAGTTAATGTTATGTTGAGTCTGAATGAGAACCGAGCATCCAAATACCCCTGCACTCTGTAAGACTTCAGATCCAGTTTTAGATGCAAACTTCTCATCCCCAGGCCCATCTCTAGTAACTGTTTATTTAGTTAATATCAGGTATCCCTTACAACTTTATTTTCATTATTCTCTAAAATGCTGTAAAGTCAAACAGCAGGGAATGGTCACGTGTCAGATATGGCCTGTGGAGAGCAACGTGTAATATGCTGCTTGTGTCTATGAATATTTTATTGTTGACCTACCTGAATTAAGATCTGATCCTGCTTCTGTTGAAGTTAGTAGCCAGAGTTTCATTGATTTTAATGGGAGCAACATTTGCCCCCCAAAGTAAAAACTCAGTTTTATCTATTCACTACCTGCACGAAGTGAGATACTGATGCATGTAATTTGGTTTAAGGTAAAGAAACCTTAGGATCAGTGAAGTTCCTAGGTATCCGAGCAGGATATAGTGCCTCCAGATTCCCTTGCCTAGAAGAGTCTCTGTGTAATCAGTTACGTTGGCTCTCAGGCTCCTGTGTGTTGCTGGAGTGGCACAAAGCAGCCTCATCACGGAACAGGATCCAGTTCACCTTCTTTTAGACTAGAGTGGTCTTGAAAATTGAATTGTTACTTCTGAGGGAATTCAAATGGGCAGTAATATGAACATAAAGTTGTGTGATGTCCTCTTTCATTTAAATCATTGCTATTCATCCACATTTCAGTTCTGTACCTCTTATTTTATAGGACAGGCAAATTGCTCTTAATCCTGACCCAAATGAGAAAATACTGTATATCTGCAAAGTGCTAAGTACTCTGGTCCTGATCCAGCCGAGCACTTAAGCATGTGGTTAACGTTAAGCCCATGAGTAGGCCCATTGTATAATGGAACTATTCATGTGCCTAAAGTTAAGTACATACTTAAGTGCTCTGCTGGGTGAGGGCCAGAGTGCTTAGTACCTGACAGGATCAAGCCCAGTATTCTTACTATATTCATCATACTGGGATAGAATCCATTTATTTACTGTGCAAAGCATAGTGGCCCCACCTGTGCAACCCTTATTCGTGGTAATTACCACTTACTCATTCTCCACACCCATTGACAACTAGTATGATGTTCCCCAATCTGAGTGAGAGTTGCACAATTCAGATCGACGCTTTTGAACCGGTACTGTGTACACACTGGACTCAAATCTCAAACACGCTCGAAGCCAGCTTTAGTTGGACTTAGACTTGCAATTCCCTATCCATCGCATTTTGTTCATATTTATAAACTTTTCATTGAAGCTGGATAGAAATTTGTTATTCTACCTAAGCCTGTCGAGGCTGCTGTTCACGTATGAACCATCTTATCTAGAAACGGGCATATGGGGGCAAGTTGTGTTGTATTTCCCTTGCCTTCCTGAGCTAATCAGCTGAGATGCCTCCTTGTGATCGGAAAGGTCAGTAGAAGCCTTTCCACTTGATTTCTCAGTGAGTGAGAGCAAGATTATGTTTTAGCTGAGTTCTCTGATCCTACTGGAAAAATCTAGGAAAAGCAAACAGTTTAGTGTGTGTGTGTGTGTGTGTGTGTGTGTGTGTCAGACTTTGTCAGGAAGTGATTTAAGTTAGCATATTATTCTCCCATCAGGTGGGTGAAACACAGCTGTGTTAATATTAAGGGCTCATTCACACAGCAACATGATCTTGCCTCTTACCAGTTAGGAGAACAGTCAGCTAAAAGTATGGTTGGTGCCCATTCAGTACTGTGGAAGCAGAGAAGGAACTGACAGGAAGGGGATGCAATGCATGATTGTTCGGTAGCAAGGGTCAGGCTAACTGTAACCCTAATAACGCGAGATTTGTAGAAGCGAGGATTGTGTGAGGCGAGTGGGAAAGAATTGTGTGAGAAGTTGTTGCGACCTTGTGTAGATAATGTGTAGAAAATATTGTATGTAGGCTAGAGTCAAAACAAGTGAGAAAAATAAGATATAAAGATGGCCTATGTATAAACAAAATGCAGCTGTTGCTTATTATTATCTGTAATGAAAGGTATAAAGGTTTGCTGTAATTGTTTACCTGTAGAGAGAGACCTGCTTAGCTCTCTCCCTCTGCGCAATTGTGAGAGAAAATAAAGTATCTGACTTGCGTACCCAAACAAAAAGTGAGAACTCTGTTTACATTGTTAAATTAATAACCGGTGAATCTTAATCATGTGCTGCTTCTGCTAGCTGCCTAATCTGGCAAATTGTTCA